ATTAAAAAAAAAAGCAGCTAAAACTTATTTAAGTCTATCGCAGCCACCATGTTTCCCGGTGTCTGGAATCCTCGAAAGAAGAATATTTGAAAAGAACGACTTCCATGCCGGAAACTAGTTGCCGAGGAGTTAAAGAACTGCGACAAATAGGGCAGGTCGAACGCCGGTATCCGACCCATCTGTCCAAGCAAACCTTATGGAAAAGATGGTCGCACCTCAACTCTGGAATCTCATCGTCTTCATCGATCTTGCATAAACAAATAGCGCATTCTTCAACTTCATCGTCGTCACCCGAGCCATGCTTGCAGTTGTAGTTGCGGCTGCCGAGCTTGAAATCATCGCCGCCGACGGTTGCGGGTATTTGATAAGGGAACAAAGAGAACCGGAGGAAGAAATTCCACGCCCAAGCCAGATTCGGGACGATCGAAAGCAGGGAAGAGAAGTGTTTCCCAAGCTTATCGATCTTCATCGTCGAATGCTCGAAAGCGAACGTCGAAACAAACATATTTGGACTATCCTGGAAGATAAAGTACAGAGCGCTTAGCCTACAAGGACGACGGCAGAGAGAGAGAGGTTGGTTTCCAAAGGCATGAATATTAGGTTATTTATAGAGCATTGTGTCCAGAAATGGAAAGCCGTAATCTGGTGCCGAATCATACCATTCAAAAGGAAGACTTTTAATGCAGACTAGCAGACAAAGTAGATTGTATATTTTATTTTAAATATTATCAACATGCGAGGGTTTTTAATGTAAATTTTATTGATAGTCCAAAGCAGGGGCTAATAAAAAAAATTAAGAATAAGAGTTTAAAATTTTAATATTTTTTTTAAAAAATAACGAGTGTAAAAAATTTCATTTTTTCCATTTACTCTTAATACATTAAATTAAATTTCACGTTTTTTTTCAAAATAATAAAGATGCACTTAACTCGTAGGACACATCCACCTTATCCAAAATTTGATTATTTATTTAAAACAAAGGGAAAAAAATGTGATACAAAAAGTTAAACGGGTTTACGTCACCAGCAACAATTTGAAACTTTCGGAATTTTCTTGCTGTTTGAAGATTAGAATCTACATTTTTTAATCTTCAACTTCTGAAATTTCAAGTGAATAGTTTGTTTATTTAACACACACATATATATTCGAACCAAATGATCTTAATAGTAAAAGAATTATTATTATTTTTTGAGATAACATGTTTGTGCATCATGAGTATTAAAAGTATGAGCATTAAATGTCAAATAATTTAAAGTTTATTTAAATCATATTGTCTTATATTTACCCGGTATTAATAATTTATATAACAAAGTTATAATGAAGTATTCATGTGATTTCTAATGAAAATAAGGTTTATGGTTGGAAAAAAGTTGTCCTTTTAATTTATATAACAAGGTTATAATGAAGTATTCATGTGAACTCTATTTTGAAAACCGGACCGGATCGGCCGGTTCAACCGGTTCAACCGGAAATCGTTAATTAGTCCGGTTTAATTTAAATCAGTTGAACCACTATTAGTGAACCGGCTAGAACCGTTGAACCGTTCGAACCGGCCAGAACCGTTGAACCGTTCGAACCGGACCGGCTAAAAACCGGAAAAAAAGGGGAAAACTAGGATTTTTTTTAAAAAAATTAAACCAAACAACGTCGTTTGTTAAACGAGCCAAGTCAAACTCGAGTATTGCTGAGCTCGACTCGAACTTAAAAACTTTAAAAGTAAGCTCAACTCAACTCAAACTCACAAGCTAAAAATTATCAAGTTCAATTCAAACTCAAAATATAATATTGAAACTTGAACTCAAAAAAAATTAGAAGCTCGATTGAAGCCTAAAATTCGAGCTTGATTGAAGTGAAAGAATAGTTCACTCAATGCTCACCAAAAGGCTCCATGATTTTGAATGCCAAATTACCTCTATTATTTATAGAAGTTAGTTGTGATGCGCTTCTATGTTTCTTAGCAACATGAGATTATTTTGTTCTCATATTTTTACTCTTTAGACTTTTGGGATGCTCTTTTATGTTTCTTAGCCATGTGGGATTGTTTTAAAAAAATTAAACCAAACAATATCATTTTGTTATGATTTTTTTAACCCCAAATTTATTTTTTAATTATAGTTATATAATTATATTTATTATTTAATATGTTTTACCTTAAATATTATGTTGTAGTTAATTTGAATCATTTTGTTTCACTTGATTTTATGGGTTTTAACTTATATATGTTATTACTTGCTTTGAATAGGACTTGTGATATAAAAAATTATTTTTTATTAAATATTTTTGATATTTTTATTTAATTTTTTAAATAATTTTGACGTCATCCGGTTCTTCCGACCGATCAGACCGATTCAACCGATTAAATCAGTGAACCGATAGCATGACCGGTTCGCTAACCGGTCCGATTCTGAAAACCATGCATGTGAATGTTAAAAGTATCAGCGTTAAATATTGCTCTTGTTGATCATTATTGACTATTTGCACACTGTGACATTCACTTTCCACCAACTCTTAAGGATTATGCCTTGTCTACTGTAAAATCAGATGCACAGCAAAGTATCGTTCTTCCACAGGTGAGCCGTGGAACAACGCGACAAGGAAGTCTATCACTGAACTACCTCTTTTCGAATATAATTGATATTGATTTTCTATTCTCCTTTCATCAACGATCCGGTAGAGTCTACAGGTATTGTTTCGATAAACATATTCAAGAATCCTTTCAAGGCACAAAAAGCCTCCAAACAGTTCATCTCAACTCGTATTTTACGATAATCAAGTCTTCAAGTACCACGAATCACTCGAAATTATATTAAGGGTAACTATACGAAAAGTGTCCTTTATTTTCGGTATGATCGATTTTTGATCCCAATTTAAAAATTAAGAGTAAATGGTCCCTAACGTTATCGGTTCATCCGGTTTAAGTCTCTCTCATTATCGGTTCATCAGGTTTAAGTCCTTAATCCGTCAACTTCTGATAACCCTGGAGTGGCAATTGAAAAATGTAGCCAAAATCCAAAAGTTACGTGTATTCTTCTTCTATGTATTGCAGTCTGCGATATTTCTGGGTGAAGACTTAAATGCAGAATCAATACTTCTTGCTTATTGAATCAAGACTTAAAAATACAACCAATTTAGAGCAGTTGAAAAAGTGAAATGCAACGGAATTGAGCTGGATATACTCGAATTTCTCAATTAACCATAATTATGAAAAGAAATTCAAGGATTCTTGACAAAACTCAATACATCTATGGAAAGAGAGAAGTAAGATCCTCCATGATAAAAGCTTGAAAACAAAGTAGGAAAAATGAACATGAATTGAAGAAATTCTACCGCAAATCCGCCATTGAATTCAAACCTGGGAAAAACACCCAGAAACTTATTGTCATACCTGAAATGGTAGTTGCCAAGTCCATGTTTAACCCCAGACTTGAACTCACCAACATAGCAACTCCCATCAGCACAAGGTTGAACACCAACACCATGACTTTGCCCCTTACACCATTCTCCAACATATGAATCCCCAGTATCAAACCTATAAACCTCAAATCCATGCCTTAAACCCTGCCTATATTGTCCTCTATACCCACTCCCTCTACTCCAGCTCTCTACTCCATTCCCATCATATCTGCCTTCAACTCAATTCCCTTCGTAACTCCCATTCATGAAATAGTTATAAACCCTACTCCCCCTACCCTTGTGAAATTCACCTTCATAAAACCCCCCCATTGTTATACAACTGGACTCCTTCTCTTACAACCAGCTGAAGCTTTTCTTTTTCTCTGTTGGCGTTTTTATTGCAATGGGTTTCGAAGAAGAAGATTATTTTTTTTTTATAAATTTTAGTTGCTTAGTAATAACTCCGTTAAAGGATTAGGAATCATTTATCTTTAATTTTTAAATTAACGACGAAAATCGATCATACTAAAAATAAAAGACATAATGCAACAAAATAACCTTAACGTTTCATAGTGATATCAAATTTGCCCGTAGTGTTTTTTTTGAAACATTTGACCCTTTAACGTTTTATTTTAGGTAAAAAAATATTCTTGTTGGATGAAAATTATTAGTCAACTAATAGTTAACGCATAGAGACAACATGACAAGCTTACATAACATTGCACGCTGACGTGACAATTTCACGTATGTAAAGGTGATGACATTAAATTTTTCACGTCGGCAAAAATTAATTTTTAAAAAATAATTATATTATTTTTTTAATAATTTTCAACCAATACAAAGATGACATGTGTCATCATTGTATATGTGGAATTACCAAATCAGCAAAAAATATTTTTTAAAAAATAATTATATTAATTTTTTAATAATTTTTTAAATAGAAAGCCTCACACACATCAATGAAAGCTCCACTTTCTAAAAAAAATGCAAAATAAAGAGGGAAAAGAATGAACTGGAAAACAAAATATACCCTTATCGGAGAAATGCTTCCTCGTAAACCTCGGGAGCCATAAGCTATGGTGTTCTTGGAGAGAAAAAGCAAACCCCAAAAAACGGTGACTTTCATTTTCTCGTCTTACCGACTTCCATTACTCAAAAAAGTTGAACATTTATCATACAAGATGCCAACCAAAGTTCAGTTCAAGTAAACATATCGACACAGTGAGATGCATGAGATTTCGAGAGGATCGAAGCGACGCCGAGATCACCGATCTTAACTTCTCCTTGGTTGCCATTAACAAAAATATTATCACATTTAAGATCTCTATGAATCATAGGGGGGGTCATGGCTATGGAGATAAAGAAGGCCCCTCAAGATCTGCCTACACCAATGTTTCACAGCTCTGATGTCGACTCTCTATGTTTAGCCTATACCTATCATAGATCAAAAACCAAGGGAATCCCAACACAGACAAAAGATCAAACACCTAAACTACACCAAGAAAAGGCAAAATTTCAACATGTTCTTTTACTTACTGTCTTAAAGTCCCAGAAGTGAACATTTCAGTGACAAAATTAATGTTCATATTAGTAATATCAACCCAGGAAGTATAAAACTTCATAATATTATCGTGTTTCAATTCAATGTCTTGAGAAGATAAATCTCACAGTAAAGCCTTTCAAGATCTTCAGGGATTTGAAGAAAATCATGAGTTTGGCTTGGTTCCCAGCAACTTCAATCCCTTCATACTCATCAAATACTCTATAACTGCAATAAAAATCAACCCTTTATATCGAATGGAGCTCAAATTCTGAACAAAAAGATGCAAGCAAATTTGATGAAGAAATATGAAATGGGTATTGAAAAAAAAGAAAAAAACTCCTTCAACAAGTTCCTCCACTTGTCCGTACACATAGTCAGTGATCTATCGAACCCTTTCTCCCTCATCTCAGTAGATATCTGCTCCCAAAGGTGCTTGTTTGATTTGGAAGTATTGAAACGACCGTCTGTTTCCCTCCGAAAATCGATAAGGCTTAGTGTTTCGTCTTGGACCCAGGTCTCGGCTCGTTTCTTGGGGGTTTTGATTTCTGGGTCATCACCGCTGCTTTCACCCAACATAATTTGATGCTGCTGCAGCTGGAGCTGATGTGGGAAATTCCCATTGGTGGGGACCTCGATGATCATGTCATTAGCTATGGAAGGGTCTTCCTCCTTGTATAAATCAATTGGATGAGACTTCTCCGAGAGGTACATGGCCAGCTCTGAATCTGAACAGGGAAATGGGTTCTTTTTTAATATTTTTTGCTTTTTTTTTTTTTGGGTTTTCAAGGCTTTTAGGAGTTGAAAAGAGAGGGATTTGACATGGAGAAGAAGAAGTGAAATCAGGTTGGGTTTAATTTGATTTTGATTAGTAATTTTTTCCCTTTTTAGTGTTTTGTCGATAAAGAATGAAGATCGAAGAAGAAGCAGTGAGTTTTGAGTATAGTTTTATATTTAAGCCAATGAAAAGATGACACATGTCATCTTTGTATTGGTTGAAAATTATTAAAAAAACTTAATATAATTATTTTTAAAAATTAATTTTTGTTAACGTCGCAAATGCCATATCATTACCTTTGCATATGTGTCATTGATATGTTAGCGTGCGATGTTATGTAAGCTTATCATGTCATCTCCATTGCATTGATCGTTCGTTGATTAATATTTTCATCTAACGAGTGCGTTTTTTGACTTAAAATGAACCGTTAAGAGGTCAAATGTTTCAAAAAAAAAAACATACAAACAAATTTAACATCACTATCAAACGTTAAAATTATTTTATTACCAAAATAAAGAAAACTATTCGTAGAATTTACCCTTATATTAAAAATGTCCACATAAACTTCTAGAAAATCCTAAGACTCTCTCCCCTATATTATTGCAAATAAAAAATCCAAAAAACTTGTAAGTCGTCAAAATGACGAATGATAATGTTTGACAATATGATAATTATATAATATAGAAATTATATATAAATATATATATAATATCATGACCACAATTATATTAGGGTTAACTATGCATCTCGTATTTAACGCATTTAGTATTTAAACTCTTAATTTTAGTTCGTTTTAATACTTAAATTTTTAATTTTTTCTCATAATTTAACGTAATATTTTAAACTGATACTAAAATAAAATAAAAATTAAATTTTAGGTATAATTTTTAAAAAAATTAAAAATTTAGATACTAAAACATCTAAAACTAATATTTTAGATATTAAACGCATAATGTATCAATTATAATTACCCCACGTCACGGCGCCAATCTTTCCCACAAAAATTTCAAAACCCTTCCAAATCTGAACCGAGCCCACTTCCTTCAATTAAAATAAGGTAAATTACAGCCAAGGTCACTTACTTATGGATTTAGCAATAAATAAATTATTTTCTCTAAAAATTACAAATAAATAATTCAACTAAAATATAGTTACAAAAAATTACTGTCATTAAAATTGAAATAACCGTATAATGTGATATGGTATAATAATTTTTTTAGTTCTAAAAGCTTATATGTCCTATCAATTTTATCCTATTCATCAATTAGTGCTTTTGTGATACTTGTCAAATTGAACAAGTCTATAATGTTAAAGCAATAGTTAGATAATTACATTTTTTATAAAGTAATGACAAATTATTTTTAAACTATTATTATATCATAAAAGAAATATAATATTTATGGTAGTAGAACAAATTGTATAGGAGAAGAATAAAGACTAAAAAGATGAAAAATTTAAATATAAAGAGTTAAGTTTATTAAGTTGTTTGAGATTATGACCAAATTGAATTATTGCATAAATTTTAAAGACTAAAATTGTTATCATACCATGTCACAAACTATTTCAATTCAGTGACATATTTGTAATAATATTTTAATCGAGTGATCTATTTGTTATCAAATCCTTAGTCATGTGACCTTAGGAGTCATTTACCCTAAAAATAAAAACAAAAGAGAATCATAAAATGGTTGTCTTTAAGCTTCACTAATCTCAAATCGCAAACATCATTTCTGGAAACGGGACCTCACTTTTTGTCTTTCTTTCCCTATAAATCTCCTTTAAATTATTTTCAGTCCCATCCAAAACCCATCATCGTTTAACCAGATCGGGGGAACCGAGGGGGCAGGAGCGGGGAGTTTGAACATGGCGACGGCGTCGTTTAACAAGGTCGAAAGGGCCCACCAGATGTATAGAGAAGGCAGGTACGACGAAGCTCTGGGTTACTACACGGAGGCGCTGGCGGTTGCCAAAACGAAGCCTCAAAAGATCGGTCTGCACAGTAACAGAGCCGCTTGTTACTTGAAATTACATCATTTCAAAGAGGTTTTCCTTTTCTCTTTATTTATTTATTTATTTATTTTATCATCACATTGGATCGCCTTTGATTTTTTTCTTATTGGATTTTACTTTTTAGTAGCTTTTAGTAATTGTTTTGCTTCGGATTGGACTTTATGGACTTTGGGAATTCCGAAAAGGTTGATTTTTACTGTTTTATTTCTAAAATTTTGGGGGTTTAGTATAATAATTTCATGGACAAAAGTTGGTTTTGTGGGATTTTATTTATCTGCTTTCAATGAATTAAAATGAAATTAGTAAGGCAGAAGTTAAATGGACAAGAGTTGTTTTATTAGATTATATCAGTAGAAATTATGTTGAAGCCGTTATTAATTCAAAGATTCAGGTTTGCAATTTGTGGCAAAAGGTTCTTGTTTAGATAGTTTTGCTTTCAGTCTAGATTCTAGTAAGAATCATCTTTTGTTTGTTTTAAGCAATCAAACTAGCCATAGTTCGGCAGCTGACATGATCATGCAAGATTTCACATATGTCCATTTAACTTAAGAGAATTATGGTGTTGTATTCTGCAACTTTTATGGTGTTTTTGATGTTTGGTGATGGATATGGGGATGTAAGCTTTCCATATACATGGAAAAAACATAGAAGTGGATACACGTGCGTTGAACATATACCTTAATTCAATATTCACATTCGACTACAAGTGGCATGGATGATGCGGATGCATGACTTGCACACATCACATTTGTGAATCTTGTCATTTTCTCACAAGCATACACATGCAGACGTGGACATACATGTTTAGCAAAAATAGCTGCAATTTACCAATGTGTGGTCGTGGGATCGAGTCTCACGGTGGGCAATTCATAATTCGGAGGTCTCCCACGGAAGTTGCTCTCAACCTGGTGTTGGGGGCAGCCTACTATCCTACCTCCCCTTACCCCATTACATATGGGAATAAGGGTCAGCTAATTTTGTTATCCTCTATTTAGATATACATTTTTCTTTATATGCGAGGCATCTCAATCTGCTGTCTCTATTCGTGGAATGAATACATATTGGGTTATCCGTTTTACTATACTGTTATCTGCAAACTTATGCGGTGAATTCAACCTTAGGCAGCAGAAGAATGTACATCTGTTCTTGAGCTTGACCATAAGCACACTGGAGCTCTGATGCTACGAGCACAAACCCTAGTCACACTAAAGGAGTACAATTCAGCCCTCTTTGATGTCAATCAGCTCATAGAGTTGGATCCATCTTCGGAAGTTTATCATAACCTTCAAGCGCGTTTGAAGACACAAGTGGTATACTCCCTTATCCCTATATTCTTGTGGATGTTTCTCTACTATAGTCTATTTTGTCTCGTTAGTTAACTGGGTACTTAGTCTTTTTATTTCACATAGGCTTTTCCATTGTCTGCTGTTAGCTTATTCTTAATCATTTTTAGCTCATTGTCTTTGGGATAGCTATTACCAAAACCGGTCCGATAATTCTGTCTTGAACTGAATCATACTTGATATTCTGGATGCCAGTGAAAAGGTGGATTTTGTTTTCTTTTCTTAAGGAGAGCCAATTGCTTAAATATCTCTTAGCTAGTACTTAATCAATTGTTTGCTTGTTGTCATTGGGAAAGCTATTGCCAAAATTGGTTCCACTGGTTCTGTCTTAAGCCGACTTGTATTTGATCTTCCGGATGTCAGTAAGAAAGCGGATTTTGTTTTCTTTGCTTAAGGAAAGGCCCTTGCTCCGATACCTGAATCTGAAGCAGAGTTGGAGGAAGAGGAGGAAGAACATGAGCAGCCTTCTACAAGGGAGAAAGAAGCAAGTCAAGATGACAAAAAGGAAGACATGGTAGTGTCAGCTGTTGGGAAAGTTGTTAATGCTGCCGAACTTGAACATCTGGTTAAAGCAAAATTGATTGCCTCTGAGAAACTTGAGATCAGAGCATATGCTAAGCAGGAAACATATTGTAAGAATGTGGCTGAAAGAACTCCTGGAGTGACCGCTCTTCAGGAACCAAATGATAAGGATTCCAAAGGATGTCAATTGATTCCTAAATCCCAGGGATATTCAGGTCAGATTAAAGTACCCCAAAGAGTTGCAGTTACTGCTCCTCGAGAACAGGGCATCAAAGATTCCAAGGGATGGCAGGCAATCCCTAAACCCAAGGGACACTCAACTCTTGACTATGCACGGTGGGACAGAGTTGAAAATGACTCCAGTGAAGAAGATGATGATGATGAGGACTCTCAGCCTCAGTATCGATTCCGGGTAAGAACTGTCGGCATACGACCAGTGAAGTGAAATGATGTCTGATTCCTAAAATCTTCACAATGAGTCTCCCATGATGAGGAAATTATAGTTTGATCTATCGTGTTTGAACATCCAAAAGGCAGAGGCATCACATATTACACTATTACAATTGCATCCCTGGTTTGTGTTCTGGTATCAAAGTTCCTTTCAGAACTTCCAGGCTGCCTCGGATAATTTGGAAATGGCTGCACATATTAACAGTCAATCGGCATCGATTCCAGAGTCAGGTAAACCATCATTTCCGGTACTGTAATTATTTACAAATCTCTCTTCTGGTTGCTTAAGCTATATGGTTAGGGATGATAACTTTGAATCTGTGAACTGGTTTGCATTGGATGAACAACTATATAAATCGGATAGTTCTATAATTTTTCTGGATGTCAATACATTATTTGTTTGTATATTTATCACTACATACAAATCTCACATCGGCTAGCTTATGAATTCCCTGTTATTTTATACTATTAAGTCGATAGAAATATGATCACCTAAGGAATTGTGCTTAATTCTTTCCTAATAAAAGAAGTTGCTTGTTGGTTATATGTCATGTTTAGGGGTGTTTATCGAGCTAGTCGATCGTGAGTTAGACAGTGCTCGACTCGTGTTCGTTAAAAATATTTGATGTTCAACTCGACTCGTTGTTCGTTAAGTTTGTTAAAATTATGCTCGACTCGTCGTGCTCGTTAAAAAAAATTGTTGCTCAATTCGACTCGTTGCTCGTTAAGCTCAATGAAAAATTTACCTTCTATTTTTAACTAAAAATAAAATTTACTAATACTATATGGGGATATTAAGGTTGGTTTTTTTAATTAAAATAATATCATTAATTAATAATATTTTATTATTTATTAAAAAATAATAGATTGGTTAACTTATTATTTTTATTAATAAATTAATAATTATTATTTAGATTTATTTTTTGAATGAAATAATTTAGAAGTAATTACTAAAAATATATTTTTTAAAAATTAATGAGTTGTTTGTGAACTTATGGAGACGAGTTAGATTTTGTTCGACTCAGTTCGTTAAGGTCTTGAGTCGAGTCAACTTGAGTCGAACATTTATCGAATTTTGATCGAGTCAAGTTCGAGTTGCTTACTAGATGCTCAACTCCTTAAGCACCCCTAGTCATGTTTATTACTATTAAATAAATAATGCGAGGTTAACGTATAAATAAGACGCGTATGAGATGAGATTTGACATAGTTTGGCCTTGCTTGCTTCTACTTGCAAGAGAAATAAATAATCTACCATAAATGTAGAGATTATGAAATATATATATATATATATATATATATATGATATTTTATGTATCTTATAACTCGATATGTAAATCCCAAAACACGGTGTGTCTCAAAATATTACCCAACATCCCTGTAAATTCATCTAACAAAAACCCAAAGGTTGTAAAAATCTCAAAAATATTACATTTCTTTTAAAATAATTCTGGCATAAATTTGAAAACATACTCCATATTTATAGTCATCAGTCATGTACTTGATCACCAAAAAACTTAATTGCATATGACTTCTTACTTAAGTAATCTTTCATCACTAGAATTATAATAAAATTTTACTTATTTATCTATTAGAATTTAAGTCAATATCTATCAATATCCTATTTATATAAATTTCATTGGTGTATTGGTATTCAAGTTTTCAACAACTTCAGTTTTTAAATAATCTGTTGAAGAATTATTGTTAAGTCTTGAACACTTCAATTCTTATGTTATATCTACTGAAGATCTGCTGGGTTGGTTGAGAATTACTCGTCCTACAATTGATAATTTGTTGCAGAAAAAATTCTCTTGCATGTTTCCAAAATCACTAACAAAATCTGTAACAACAATTTCTTTCAATACTTCACAATTAAAATCACAGTTCTGATAATACTTGTTAAGAATTTGTAAGTGAAAAATAAATAATACGAGATCAACATAGAAAAATAAATCACAGTTCTGATAAAACCTGTTAAGAATCTATGTTTGGAATTAACATGCATTCTAAAAAAAAATTCTCTCATATTTAATGATGTATTTAAAAAAATTCTTTCAAACTTTAAGGTTTGTGTCGTTTCTATAAATCATATCAATTTTTTTATTTTGTTTACTCGATGGTAACACTAATTTTAATGTTAATTATCGATCATCGGTTCTCTTTTTTCAATACTAATTTAAAGTGGAGCTTCATAGCTTCCTAAATATCTGTTTAGAATTAACATACACTCTAGAAATTCTCTCATATTTATTGATGTATTTAAAAAAAATCTTTTAAACTTTAGGGTTTGTGTCGTTTTCCATAGATCATATCAATTTTTTTTATTTTGTTTAATCAACGGTAGCACTGATTTTGATGTTAGTTATCGATAATTGGTTCTCTTATTACTTTTTTTTTTAATTTTTTAAATAGAATAATTTTGTCATTATGACACTTTTTTTTGTCTTTGTGACACTTTTTGCGTTTTCTTTTTCGGTTATTCGGTCATTTTTTATTTTTTATTTTCTGAAGGTTGGATTTAACAACGCCACGCATAATTTCTCACGACGTTCGATTCTGATTTGCGATTTTCAGTTAGTCTTTCAGTAGCTTAATTTCCTTTTGTGATTCGTTTGTCGATGCGGTCAGATTTATTCGTATCTATTTTTTGTTCGAATCTTTTGGTTAGGTTTTCAAGCTTTTCCATATATGATCATTGTCTGATCTAAAGTGACTAGTGTCAATGTTATAAATCGTGTATTTGATTTACGACAATAGTAATAAACTCTTATTGTAATTTTGAACATGTTTACTTTTTAATAATAATAGAAACTTTTATTAAAAATAAAATAATACTATATACAACTATAATACACGAATATAATTTAAAACTTATAATATGATTATAACATTTAATATAATGGCAGATTGCACACTTAGCACTAATTTGATTTAGGAATAACCCCTTACTATATTCCCAAAACTACATGAAACTCGCTATATAATGACAGATTCGTATCCGCCTTGCTATTCTTTGTCAAATTTTCATGTTTAGACTTTTGGCTAACTCTTCTCACAGTAGTTTCTGTTCGATGTTGCTCTGAATTTTCTTCTGTTGGGAGTTCTTCCCTATTCATATCCTGTTCGTCTTCATTCTGAGTTTCCTTACATAACATCTCAAAACGATTTCCATGTTGAACTTCTTTAGCATTGTCGGGAGGTTTCGTATTAACACGATTATTTTTCTGTCTTCTTTGGACCAGCATCCAGGGGCCAAAGTCTCCCTCCTTATTATTTGAATTTTCTGGAACTCTTTCTTCTTGTTGAACATGATCTTGACTTAATGCAGGTCCTTTCTTTCCTCTTTCTGCTGATTTTCCAAATGTTGCAGTGGACAAGACTCGATGTTTAGAACAATCTTTTCAACTCTTACCTTAGCAAGGAGAGGTTTATTCAAATCTATTTCAACACATATTCTTGCGAACTTACCCCTTGTAGCCCAGGCTGTTCTAAAGGATTCCCTACAAGTTTACCTATATTGACAAGAACCCCTTCATCAAAGTACTCGATAGGAAGCCCTGGAATATGAATCCAGACTGCTGTTGATGGAATCAACGCTTCTTCAGCTATAAAATTTGGTTTCCACTTCTGAACTGCCAAGTAATGGTCCATGATTTTTCAGGGACCTTCTGGCAAGACTTTACTTCTGTCTTTCATGCTTTCAAATTTCACCGCATAGAACCCGTGTACCATATCAATGCAATCAAACCCACTTTCCAGATTCCACAGTGTTGTAGTTCTGTTATGAAGTGTTTTGTATGTTATAGTCTTTCCCGGAGTTTTACAATTAGGGCTTTCTTCCAAGGTTTCCTAATCTTTTGCTTTAAAACTTTCGAAATCTTTACTGAAGGTATTCCATCTTCTTCTACTTCCTCGTCTTCCTCAGATTCATAATCTTCCTCCTCGAATCTGCTTGAACTGTTGAACATGCCAGTAAAGAAAGGTGAGTCGGTCATTGCATCGCTCCAGGATTTAGTCCATACTCTTTCTTCTGTAGCTACTTCTTCTCCCGTTGATCTTACTCTCTTGTTGCCACCACCACTTGCTATTGAATCTTCCGCCGCCCGGGGCACTGTCGTGCCCGGCGGATACTCCCCCTCATGTGCCAAACTTTTCAGAAGATTGCTTTTTAGAATCTTGATTTCTTTTTTTAGTCGTATTGTTTTGTTTTCTTTGTAAAGAAGAAAAACTAAAAAAAAAATTCTCTAGACGAGACGACATTACAAGCACTAAGAATGACTTGTTTATATACATTAAATCTAACTAATAATAAACTAACACTAGAACTGCCTTACAGTCTAAGAGCTAACTGAACTACATTACTCCTCAACAGTTACCAGCCAGTAGTGCATTTTACTTATAACTCTACCAAGATATAAATAAATGTGGATTACTCTAGTTTTATTGTAAGTGCCAACTTGCACCAATGAAAAACGAGACAGTTTTGACAGGCAAGCAGGTACCAAGACCAGAAGCATGCGTAAATTAACAAGAAATGAGAACTTTTTTCAGCAAAACCTGATGAGTTTCCTTTTAGTGTTGTATAGCTTTACCTTGGATAAGTTGCTCCCATTGTCCTTCACCTTCTTTGTGTTCATTTTCATGGTGTTCAAGCTTCGGATGAGAACAAAACTCAAGGACCCTCCTAAAAATGGAACCCCTGCACCATGGAAACTACCTATTATCGGCCACTTGCACCACTTAATTTTCTGTCTTCCCCATTAATGCTTGGCGGAATTAGCCAAAAGCCATGGTCCCGTGATGCACCTACAACTTGGTGAATTACCATACGTTGTTGTTTCTTCTCCGGAGGCTGCTAGAGAGGTGTTGAAAACACATGATATCAATTTTGCTAACAGGCCCTTTCGCCTTATTGCAGAGATCATATTGTATAATTTTTCAGATATTGCTTTTGCACCATACGGAGCCTACTGGAGGCAGCTCCGGAGGTTTGCGCGTTGGAATATATATATATATAACAGGATGATCTGTTTGTAAAGCATGTGAAAAGATTGTTGAATCGCATTTCACATGCTTCCCGTTCCTAATGTATGTTTAAATAATGATTCCCTTTTAATGTACCCTGTGGGGACTCTGCTTGTTGAGTTCAGCAGTTAAAAAGTAAATAAAGATTTGATGATTGTACTCATTTCTCAGCTGAAATTGCATTTTAGTTAGACCGAATGCTAATCTGCAGTTCAATAAGAAGAGAAACAATAATTTGGGAATTCAGATTTGTTCATGTTGATTCAGGCAGTCCCTTATTCCTCTTCGTCTTCCTCCTCATCGATTCATTGATGGCTTGAGCCATCTCATTCTTGCCGAAGAAAACCATCCTTGTTTAATTTTTAC